GGCTAATTCTTAGGTCCTCCCACCACTCGGGAATCTCCAAGCTGTCTGTGCTGTCAGGATCACTCAGGATCGCTGCCAGACCACAGTTCTGTCTGTCTCCTTTTTTCGTATTTTCACGCAAATTCTTCTGCTAGTTGGGGTTTAGTCCACTTGTATGTCCTTCTCTTCAAGGCTCAGGGGTCCAGGATTATCTTCTGTGTCTGTGTTAATTGGTTTCCCTTTTCTTTGTTGAAGAGGGTCTGTGCAGTCTTTCTGCCTAGTCCACCATCTTACCAGATCTCCCTTTTTCATGTTATCTGATGCTCTTACTAGCAAACACACCAAAATTCCTTCAGTCTCTTCCCATTACCCAATCCCAAAGCCCTGAGCACACTTTAGCTATTCATTAGCACAGCACCCACCAATGGTACCAAATTCTTAGTTACCCAGTGCTGCTGTGCCCAAGAAACACCCCCCGTGGGAGACTTTAGAAAACAGACGTGTATTTTCTCTCAGCTCAGGAAGTCTGCAGTCCAAATCTGGGCCATGGCTCTGGAGGGAGATCTTTCTCGGTTGGTAGCATCAGGAGTTCTTTGGGGTTACCTGGTATAACATCATCCCCATGTGTCTCTGTCTATTTTGCTTTTTCTAACTCAGATCTGATTTGATTTAGGAGCCACCCTTTCTAGCAATGACTTCATTAGCACAACCAAAGAAGACTCCTATTTTCAAACAGAGTCCTATTTACGGGTATAGGGGTTAATATTTTGGCACATATTTTTGTGGGACACAATTCAATCCCTAACACCTTGCAAAGGAGGAAGAGCATCTTGAAAGAAACTCACTTGTTCTCTGAGCTCATGAAACCAAGGACGACTTCTCTGACTCTGTAAGACATCCCATTAACACACTCCTCTTTAGAACAAGTACAATGAACGGTCCGTATTACTTCATAGAGACAGAGAAGATACACTAATGTGAAAACTATGAACAACTCTTATTTTTATTTAAGATGGCAAACTGAGCCAGAAATCGATCTCAAGATAGCTCAACACACATTATTAGTATGTGGGATCTGGACCAGAAACTCATTATCCCACTGAGAATTATCAAGAAACAAAATGACAAGTCAAAAGCACAAAGCACTCAGACTAGAGAGTGTCCATTTGGGAGAGGGCAGAGGTCAGCAAACTTGCTTCCGAGTAAAGTAACGTTCTCTGAGACCTGGACGTGAAGGTTGGGTGAACAAAGCTATACCTGAGCAGCAGGGCATCAAACGTTTGCCAAGTAGTTAAAGCCACTTCACACACAGCTCACGCTAATTTATACTTTGGACAACATACAGTGTAACAGGACACATGTCTCACTCTTAGGCAGCTGATGAAGACATCCATGCAGGTCTTTACAGTGTTTCCACATGTATCATTTGATCTCAAAGAAACCCTACAAATTAGCATTTACTTCATAAATGAAATGACGGAGGGCCACAGAAGTGAAAATTTACTGGAAATCATTCAGTGTGTATGCAGCAGAGGGTGAGCCCAACTTTTTTTTTTTTAACTTTACTTCTGGCATAGCATTGTTTTCTAGAATATGACGCTAACTTGGCATTTTTACATTACTCTTTGGAGAACAGGGCCTCATCTGCCATTTCACTGTTTTCCTCCCAGCATTTCTCTGAATTGGATAGAAGTCAGAATCACCCACCGTATTTCACAAGCGAGGGAACAAGATCAGCTAAAATGAAGATGTGTAATTGTGAGGTCACGTTGGAAAGTATGAAACACAAAGGCAAGGCTGCAGTTAACCATCACAGTGAATCAGCAGAAGCACTGAAATGCTTATCAGAGTTAATCTAACAAATGATAAGGAGCTCTCTCTGTCCAACTTCCAGCAGGAAAGTACCAGGAATTACTTATTCTAAGGGAACAAAATAAGGAGAGAAGCATGTCACTCATGTCCATCTGCGTGAAGAGAACTCAGAAATCATAGGTGCTTACAGCTCCTCTCCTACCCACTGAAACAGGGCCAAAATATCTAACCAGCCACTGTTCTCAGTAGCAATGGCCAGAAGATAGTCAAAAGGAAGAAGAAGAATTAGCAAAGGTTCACACTGGTGAGAAGGCTCAAGCAAGAGAATCCGAATGCCCGACCCCAGTAACCGCACAGAGCAGCTGAGCCGTGCAGCACTAGGCACCGTGGGAAGCACAGGCCGTGCTACGGAGGAGAAATCGTACCACGAACTCTGAAGAAGAGCTAATGACAGAGAGGTACGCTGCAGGCCCTGCTACTCTCCCACTGACTGCACAACAATGTCCAAGCACCCAACGAAAAGAGCTTGGAAGACTGACCCAGTGACCACCGAGGCAATGAAATAAGCACATGCTGTTCAGTTGGCACATAGGACACAGCACTCCTTACAGAGTATGGGTAGCCCTGAAATATGGCCAGCAAGATGGAAAAAGGGCCTTTACTCTAAATGGATTGCTTCAAAGGCTGTCAGACACAAGGGGACAGAGGGAAGACTGCAGCCTGCTGGGGCCGCACATGCATGAAGTTCCGTGTTCTGTGGAGGGTTCCACGTGCAATTACCTGAGCGACTGTGCCACCATGTTTTCACATATTGTCAGACAGTGACTCACACGGTCTTTCTTGGTGTTTAAGAGTTCTTTCTTTCTAAAAAACAAAAGTGAAAAAGAAATGAAATGAAGATATTGAATTATCCACTGCATTGACTTGTACACATCCCTCCCTCGTTCAATCAAGTACTTATTGACGACATGAATAAACCTTTGTCCTTGCCCTGGGGGTGGCTGGGGAGCTCCTGGGCGTGAGCAGCACCCCCGCTGCAGTCAGGTGACACGACTGCAGCAGCGTATTCCCCCAACTTCGAGAGAAGGAAAACCGAAGTAGCCAGCACAGCCTGGCACCCGGCATGCGGAATCTGGATCCACCAGCAGCAGAGTCACTAGGCGGGCATGGGGGGTGCAGACCACACAAGGTGACGCTGTTAGAGCGGGCGACCCAAGAACGGCTGCATCGAAAACTGTTCTGCCACATTTCAGCAGAAATCTACTATTTCTATAAAAATATCCCTGCAGAGAGTTTTAAGAACAAAAACATTATTTGTAAAGCCAGCTGATAAGTATCAACACACTCACCAGGCCAGAACTTGAAACTAATGTACTTTCCGAACTGTCTAATGCTCCCCACTCATAGCTGTCATGACCTCATCACAAAGACACTTCCAATCACATGATTTCCTCGGCACCTGCTATGAGCATGAACTGCTCTTCTCCTCATTGCTAGTGTTCTTAGGGTCACTGATGTGGTCAGTTTTTGGAGTTTTAGCTACAATATTGTGCTAGCGGTATCTGTGAACCTGTATCAATCACTTCTTTGAGAATGAAGTACTCATTAAAAGAAAAGGAAAATATCAAAACAGGCCTCCACTCAGTCACAAGTAATGTCGTAGCTCAATGCAGAAAGACTTTACAAAACAATTTTGTGTTTGTGCTCATATCAAAAAGTCCCACAAAACCAAACACACTGCCATCGAGTCAGTTCCAACTCACAGCGACCCCTCCTTGGGTTTCCAAGGCAGTATCACTAAGGAAGTAGATTGCCCAGTCTTCCTTCTGAGGAGTGGCTCGTAAGTTTGAACCACCAGCCTCCTGGTTAGCAGTAAGATGCCTTAGACACTATGCCACCAGCACTCCCTGTATTCATACAATCTAATAAATACTACATTTAATAAGCAATTTACAACTATATTTACCACATTACTCTATGATTAAAATTTTTAATAAACATTCAAAAAAAAAAAAAAAAAAAACCAAACTCAGTGATGTCAGGTTGGATTCAACTCATAGTTTCTTGGATTTCTTAGCAAGTATCACTACGGAAGTAGATTGCCCAATCTTCCTTCCGAGGAGTGGCTGGTGGGTTTGAACTGCCAACCTTCTGGTTAGTATTGAATGTCTTAGGCACTATGCCACCAGAGCTCCCAAAATAAACATTACTAAAGATTTTGTATGGTCTGGTACAGGATGCGGTCGGGGGTGACACTGTAAGTTACCATACTAGACAAAACCGTGTATAGGGTTGGCAGACAATGTTTCTACAAGTGTACTGGTATGTTCTGTAACAATTCCCAGGTGTATAGTAGAGCTGACAAGGGACAAGGTTGTAATCACTTCTTGGCCACAGCCAGCTACCCAGAGAGAGTGAGTAGTTGGACCTGTGGGCTCAGGACCATAGTCACAGGGGACATCAAGCTCAATTGGCATAACATACTACACAAATCACTGTTCCACATCCTGGGATCTTAAAAGTTTGCAAGCAGCCATCTAGATGCAACGATGGGTCTCTCCTTGTCCACAGCAAAGAAGAATGAAGAAAACCAAAGGTTCATGGAAACAATTAGTCCTAGTGACTGGTACACCATGCAATCCTCAGCCTATACGACTATGAGACCACAAGAACTAGATGGTGCCCGGCTACCACTGTCAACTACTCGGAGGAGGATCTATGTAGGGGATCCTGGATGGAGTGGGAGAACAATGTGGAACAAAACTCAAAATCATTTGGAAAAAAAAAGACCAGGTTTGCTGGTCTGATAGAGCCTGGTGGAACCCCTGAGACTATGGTCCTCTCAGGTCTGGAACTGCACCCCCTCCTGTGGCTTCCAGCCAAACATAAGATGGGCATATGAGGTGAACATTTACCTCTGATAGATATACTCCTTGGAGAGAACAATCATGGGAGAATAGAAGGATGTGTATGCACAGGGAGACAACCCAGGGGGCAAGAGTGCACGGAGAGAAGGACACAAGGAAGAGGTAACTATGGGGAGGAAGAGGGAGGGGAGCTGTTGCATTGTGGTAAATCGTAGTCAATGTCATGAGACAAAGTGTATGTGAACTACTGTATGGAAAGTGAAATTTGCTCTCTGTAAACTTTCACACAAATCACAATTAAAGAAAAAAAAAGTGACCGCACTGGGAGATACCTTCCCAGTGATGCCGCTGTCTGCCAGCCCTCAGAATTCCGAGGCTCCAGCCTGCTCCCTCCCTGCCACCCCCACCACCGTGTGGGCCCTTTTCTGGACATAGATCTGTCTTCATTTCTGTCCACCTGTCCGTTTCTCTCACTGGTTTTGCTGCTAGAGAGAACTCAGACTCAGCCAGGACTTCAGCACAATCTTGTGGCTTTAAGCCCAGCCTGGGTCCCCAGTTCACAGCTCATGTTCCACTTGTTCATTTGTTTTCATCTCTGTTAACTGGATGCAGCTTACAATCGATGCACATCATACTTTCACCAGTAACTTGTTTTTCTTTCTCAGTACACAGATCTATGAGAATGGAATAAATTACAATGGACAATGAAATACAATAATACAAAACCAAAAACCAAACCTACTGCCATCGAGTCAATTCTGACTCACAGTGACCTCAGAGGCTAGTGCAGGTCGGCTCCACAGGGTTCCCAAGGCTATAATCTTTACAAAACAGACTGCCTCATCTTTCTCCCATAGAGCCACTGGTGGGTTCAAACTGCTGACCTTTTGATTAGCAGCCAAATGCTTTAATCACTGTAACACCAGGTTCCTTAAAATAATGTATCAACTTGAGAGCAGCAAGGTCAGGTTTTTAATATACACCAAGCTGCCTCTATTTCTCAAATTCGTATTGCTAACTGACTGTCATCAGCGTATCACACAGGTGTCATACTGACCATTAGGTATAAAATAAAGTATAAGTAATGGCTGGCCTCATTTCCGTATCACCAAGCAGCTGGAAGGAAGTCTGCAGCTCAGAGCCTTTCCCAGAAGGCTCCCAGTAAGACGTCTAGGCTGAAGAAAAGGAGATGAACAGCCTGGGCTGACAAAGACCAGATTAGACAGGCTTCATTCCCACCCAAACCTATGGTTTCAAATGCCTTCAAGGTGGTATTGCTAGGTGCTGATAAGTCAGTTTCAACTCACAAAGACCCCACGTACACCAGCACAAAACACTGGCCGTCCTATGCACTGGTCACAGTTGTCCATGCTTGAGCCTGTCCTTGCAGCCACAGTGTCAATCCATCTCACCGAGGGTGTTCCCCTTTGTTACTGACCCTCCACGTTACCCACCGGGATATCCTTCGCGGGACTGGCCTCTCCTGATAACATGACCAAAATACGAGAGATGAAGTCTGGCCATTCTCGCTTCTAAGGAGCACTCCAGCTATAATTCTTCCAAAACAGATTTGTTCGTTCTTCTGTCTGTCCATGTTATTTTCAGTATTGTTTGCCAAGCCACCAAAACTGAAAAACCAACTCACTGCCATCAAGTTGATTCTGACTCATAGCAACCTCTGATGGGTGTTCAAGGCAGTAAATCTTTATGGAAGTAGACTGTCCCATCTTCCTTCTGTGGAGCAGCTGATGAGTTTGAACAGTCAACCTTCTGGTTAGCAGTCAAATGCCTTACATACTACACTACACTTCAAATGTGTCAGTTCTGCGGGCTTCCTTAGTCATCGTCCAGCTTTCACATGCATATGAGGCTACTGAGAAGACCACGGCTTAGGTCAGGTGCACCTTAGTCTTCAAAATGACATCTTTGTTCTTAAACACGTTAAAGTGGTCTTCAAGGTAAGCATCATCAAAGGTAGAGAGAGGGATGATCACTCAAAAGAATAAGCCAAACAGCAATCTCAAGAACTATGTCCAGAAAAAGGGCTAAAATACATTAAATGGCAAAAGGTGGTCTCTTTAACAAATGGTGCTGGCAACACTGGAGATCCATTTGCAGAAAAATGAAACAAGAGCTGTACCTCACACCACACACAAAAACTCCAGATGGATCAAAGACTTAAATGTGAAACCTAGAACTATAGAGTTCCTCAAGGAAAAACTAGGGGCAAATCTAGGGGCCCTTATATATGGGAGCTCTGGTGGTGTAGTACCTAAGGCACCTGAGTGCTAACCAGAAGGCCAGCGGTTCAAACCCCCTAGCCACTCCTCGGAAGGAAGGTTGGGCAATCTATTTCCATAGTGATACCGCCTCGGAAACCCAAGGAGGAGTCGCTATGAGTCAGAATCAACTCAACAGCAGTGATTTGTTGTATATATAGCATAAATAGACTATCAAGCATAACTTCAAATGCACAAGTAGCAGAAGATAAAATAAATGAATGGGACCTTCTAAAAATTAAATTTTTATGTGCTTCTAAAGACTTCTCCAAAAAAGTCAAAGAGAACCTACAAACTGGGAAAAAATATTCAGCAACAACCTATCTGACAAGGGACTTATCTCTAAAATTTATAGAAAACTCCAACACTCAACAACAAAAAGAGAAATAATCCCTTTAGAGAATGGGCCAAAGATATGAACAGACAATTCACCAAATAGGATATTCAGGCAGCCAACAAACGTTAGAGATGTGCAAGTCAAAACAACAACGAGATAGCATCTCAGCCCAGCACTAATGGCAAAGTTCAACAAGACAGAAAATAACAAATGCTGGCAAGGATGTGGACATGGGGACCCTCACACTGCTGGTGAGACTGTCAAATGATACAACCATGATGGAAAGCAGTATAGCGATTCCTTAAAAAGCTGGAATTAGAAATACCATTTGACCCAGCCATTCCATTACTAGGTATATACTCTAAAGAAGTGAGAGCCAGG